TCGGGAACGTTGGAGGCACTGTCTGACGCGTCTGCCTCCGCGACCCGAAAGGAGAAGTGGCGATGGAAGATGATGATGATGAGCATAAACGATTAACTTCAACCATCGAGCTTCACGCGCGGGAGGTGGAACACGGCAGATGTCGCCCAGTCAACCATCAAACAACATGGAAGAGCAAAGTAGAGGTAGATCTGGTTCCAGAGAAGATTATTTCATTCTACTATGAAGTAGTTGGTACTTTATAGCGAAAGTTTGGAAACCTACACATACAGTGGATGTAACAAACCAGAGATGTTGTGCTTATGCAAACGGATCAAGATAACGATCTCAAGAAATACACAACGAATTGGACGGTTCCCTTTCATTGCAAAATTACTCCGATTAGAATAAAGTTACCTTGACCGCAAACAACGGGCAGAATTGGGAACTATTTGCTTATAAGCTTAAAGAGACCGAGTGGAATGCAGCATAACGCTACCTCCGCAGACCCGAACATACCATTTCTATTCTTGTGAAGAAAGCCCCTGAAAAACGGATCAAAACGTCAGTATAGATCCATCACCTGATAGACTGCTATGTGAATAATAAGACTGTCTTTTGTCTTGTTTTTTTCAGTGGCAGTTAGCAGTCCAGATCATCTTTTTTCACGGAGTTCATTGTAAAGCTTGCAATCCTACCCAGAATCTAAGACGCATTATGCGCAGCGCGTGCACCACCAAGACTAAACGGTGCGTTGTTAAGAATTGTTGATTAAAGGTTTGTCAACAAATCATTTTTTACTGTGAAAAGTTCTCTTCAAATCTGGTTGACTTCAGCACTGATTGCCTGCTCAGTGCATTTAGCGGTTCAGCGAGTGTTACAGATTTGCTAAGTTACGTGTGATCGTAGCTAATCTGTGTGAAACAAAGTGGAACGCCGCGTTAGTTATGAAAATATTGACGTTCCTCATACTTTCGAAGGCGAAGATCAGTTTCAAAACGCATTATGATTAGTTTTCCGGAGTAATTGATGACGGCCATTGTGCTGTTATTAGAATACTTAAATATTCTCTGATACCCGTGTGCTGGACTTCCGGAAGTCAGGCAATTTTATGTCAGTTTTTTTTGGTTTACACCTTGTGCCGATTATCAACCTGAATAGTCAACCACTGCACTGAACAAGGTGATCTGCTAGCCTATGGCAATCACATCAAACAGTACAGCTGTACCTATAACCATGCTGTCCTTTTGTTCCCAGGTTAGCGACTTACAACTTGTTTGCCGGCCGGTTGCTCTGATGCAAATTGAAACCAACGCCTCACCACTGTTCCAACGTCCCCAAATAAAATTTAAACAATTAAATCTGTAAATCTGTAGCTTTCATGATTTTAGCCAGAAAACATCTATGCATTATGCACTCAATTATAGGCTTTCAAGTCAAAGAAATAATAAACATCCTTGAGAAGCAATCGAACTGAGTCCGTGAAAGTTGACTCTGAAAAGCTCCAAAGCGAGCGAAGGTAAGCAGGGTGGAGACAAGACGAA